CCCCCTCCCTCCCCCCCTTCAGCCTCCGCTCTCCGCTTTTTGTTACCCCTTTCCCCCTTCCCCGTACAGTTTAAACGAGCACCCTCGTTTGAACTTTTAATCCTGGTGCTTCATAAATTTTGTTTTCTCGCCCCCCTAAGACTAGCAAACGTAGATGAAAACCCTGGCCACGCTGTTACCCCATTTTTCAGTCACTGTCGAAAGCAAACCGATAATAGAAGCCAATTGCCTGTGTTTTGCTATAAGCCCGCCAGCTACCGCCCTATACGAGGTATTAGAAGATCTATCAAACTGAAAAACAGAGATGTAACTGTGCTATATTTCATTGTTAGTCCTCAATAATACAGCAGTCGTCATCACCGCTCTCTTCACCATTTCTCATTGCCTGATTCTTCCCCAGTACCGTGGATAAAGCATCCGCGAGAGTTATTTTTGAGCATTCCATACCATCGCTGTGCATTTTCTTGCCCCCCTTCGCCTGTCCGATCTCTTCGATGATACAGCAATCACTGTCCTCACTTCCATCATCGCCTCCGTGCACTTCTTCCCCAGCAGTGCAGCAGCTTTCATCAGGTTCAAACCCAGCATCGCTCTTCATTTCCTCATCATCCTGCAGAAAAAAAGAAAACTGTCAAAAATAACAAGATAAAGCCAAAATCACAAGGCAACAACTTAAATAAAGCCAAAATCCACTGCAAATTTCAGCCTCCTCGCCAAAAATAGGATCAATCTGAAGCAGAGCGCGCGGAATCACAAATCCCCGGCCGGCTTGGCTTCCTCTGGGCCTCTCTATTAAAAAAAAGAACTGTTTCCAACCAAGCTAGGAATGGTAAAGTTACATAAAACGAATAAAAAAATGTCTTACATCAAGCTGTGAACTGGCCACAGTCAAACTCTCCGATTTACCCTCCTCTTCGCCTTCCTCAATTTCTTCATCAGTAGCTGCCAATGCCGTATCAACCACATCACCCGAATTTTCCGGTTCCGCACAATCCAATTCGCCTCGGTCGCATGCTTCATGTATTTCCTGTAAATCTCAAAACAATCTTAATGAACGACGAAGAAAATCAATGAAAAATCCAATCCCATAAGCAGACCATCAAATTTTTCCTCCTTTCGCATAATATCTGCTTCGATTGCGGTTATTGGAATATGCTCAACACATTCAATAAGTTTTTTTAGGTATTTGAAAGGAAGTACCATTCTGGCAGCATCCCATGTCGGAACGCTGATTGCCTGTTCCACCGTTTCTTCAGCAGTATCAATAACCGCTGCGGCCGATTGCCCATCTTCACCTTCATTAACTTTTCCTGAAAGAAACCATCAAAAAAAATGCAATCTTACCCAGGAAACCATCATAAGCAACGTTCTAACGATCTACCAACCCGATTATGTGGAATGATGTGGATGTAAAAAACACAAATCGTAGTTGACAAAAAATGCTGCATTTGCAAAGATGGAAATCCAGATCATATCATTACCAGCTCTATCAAATAATGGGGCATTTCTCCAACATTTCAGTAATGGTTTTGACAGGATTTCTTAAGTAAATCATAGCAAAAAGTACCCAATTTAGATGACTGGCTCAGGAGTTTAGGTGACATCAGTAGGAGAGGTTCATGTTCAGAGGCCCGGGGCAAATTATTGCGTAATGCTTTTTTTAAGCATAAGTCTGCGGAGGAACACTGGTGTGGAAGGGAATAAGCCGTTCTCGATTCTTCCTAGCATTACTTAGCATAAATTTTATGATTATTTAGCTAATTATCACACCATCCTGGCCAATTTATATACCACTGCGAAAAACCCGTAAAATTCTACGCCCAGTACGACTATGCCTTTCTTTTTTAGCTGCAATTGGCTTCTTTTCAACTAACTTTTGTCCTCTGATCAGATTTTTGCAACCCCTCTGGCTTAATTTTACAAACTTTAAAATAATTCTCCAAAATCTTCCCTCTAACGCACGACCCTAGCATTTTTTCAGCAGTCACTTCCAGCTTCTTAGATGAAGCAGTAGCTTTACAAGACTTAAACATCACATGAAAAACTGTATTAACCATACAAAAAATATCAATGCGACCACATTTTGCAGACAAAAAATCCAAAATTTGATTTTCCTATGCAAATATGCCAAGTACCTGCGGCTGCCCAATCGGCAAGACCACTTTTGTGTCTGTTTTCAATAAACTGCTTCACTTGTTTGTTTACATCACAAGCGATATTCTGGACCAATTGATCTGCAAAAAAAAAGATCCTTGAATCAAAATTATAAGGAAGTGGTCCAAAAGTGTTATGCTCTTCAAGTTGAAGATATGTTCCAAATCAGTAACAACTTACGAATTAATAAAAAAAAATTAATAAAAATAAGTAAAAAAAATCAAAAAAATTTAACGAAGAAACTTAAAAAAAAAATTTGAGCATGGAATTAACAAAAAAAAAGGTATGCTTTCTGCTTAAGACAATTCAGAAACTCACCAAATTCCAGAGGTAGATCGACGAAAAGTTGTTCATTGGTTTCTTTCACTTTTTCTATCAGCGCTTTCACATCATCCACTGTCACATGCCTTAAAAAAAGTCATCCAGAACGAAAACTGATGAACAAAAAAAACACATGCACAAATCTGATTTAAAAAAGAAAATTAAAATTTACTTGTATGGTATTCGCAGTTTACAACCGAATGCTTCTGATTCCATCTGTTGGTTGACATGCTCCGTGAGAAGCACATTCAGATCTTCAAAACCTGTCGAGCTTATCACCAGTTTCGGGTGTTCGTCAGCTGTTCTAAAAATAAAAAAATACGCTTTTCCTTCATTTTGTACACACAGTTTGCAAAAAAAAACAGCTCAGTTCTATGCTACCCGGGACATCGATCCTGTGCTGTACACCTTTAATTAGAACTCTCCGCCTATTCTACGAATGTAGGGTATTTGTCCGGGGCTACTCGAGTGGTCATATATTATGGAGTAGTAATTTATTGAAAATACTAGCACCTAACAGTATTTTTCACTTACTGACCGCACTAAATCGTTGACTGAACTTCACTCCTAAATTTTTGTTAATTTGAGCCAAGATGTATATGACTTCATAGGCCGAAACGTCTTTTCTCATTCGTCCTTCCTACCATTTTCTCCTGTTTTTTCTCTTATAAACCTTACTCATTTTGACACCCAAGATCAACCTGGACGCTACAATCGGGTTGTCATTCTGGTTACGTCTTTTCAGAAATGTCTGATGAAAAGATTCAACTGAACACCTGCACGGAATTACGTGGATGCGTGGAACCCAAAATCTAAAGAAGGGAGCAAGCCCACTGTAGCAATCAGGTTAACCCTGAAAACCAAAGCGACGATAGAACACAGGAAGACAAAATAATATGAGGGAAGAGGGCAAGAGTGAGATAAGACGTTTCGGTCCATTAAGTCATAGTAGCAACCAGGTTAACCCTGGAAGCCTAAGTGGTGGAAGCGTGAGAGAACTGCCAAATTTCACTGAAGAAGAAAGAAAACTGTCAAATTTCACTGATAAAAAAAAAGAAGAACACAATAGAACGAAATGTTTACGTAACAAAAAGAAAATATAAAAATTTACAATGGCTCTCCAGTGTCGCTGACAAAAATGCCTTTTCGAACAAAGTAATTGTAGATCTGTAACTGTCGGCGTGTAAGCTTCAGGAGGCGGCTGTTGTGCGCATTTTCAACTTCCTCGTCATAGTCATCGCCCAGGCTTATCTCCCGATTTTCCAGCTTTGTTATAGCTTTGCGCAGTTGCTGCAACACCAAAACAAGTAACATCTGCGAACGGAAAAAATCTCGGTCGGTTTTTCTACCAACGGTTTTTCGACCGGCCCCTCAGTCGGTTCGCCAAGGCTGATTGTTACTTATCATGTTTCGGACAAATCTCACATTAAAAAGTACTAAGGTGGTATTTCCTAGGCTAACTGCTAGCACGCTGTACTCGCCAAGCACAAAAATACCCGGAATATTAAAAAAACCGCTAATTTCTCCCTTCATTCCTGCGACTTTTTTCACTAAAACGAAAGTAATAACTCAAAGGAAGTAAAAATTCAACTGGAATGTTCCGATCCATTAAATCGCATACATTCCTATTCAGTGCTATAACTGGACCTCGTCAGTATGACATTCCCATTCAATGTTACAACTGGACCTCGTCAGTATAGAGAAGCTATATATTTGAACATTTTGATGAAGTTATGAAGAAAGTTTTAAAAGTAATAACTAAAAGGAAGTAAAAATTCAACTGGAATGTTTCGGTCCATTAAATCGCATACATTTCCATTCAGTGCTACAACTGGACCTTGTCAATGTGACGGTTGCAGTAGAAGTATTAGATATATTTTATAAATGTATGTCATCATCAATATTTTCTTTTACCTTGTAAAGTTTGACAAGTCTGAGCACTTTCGATTTTGGTTTACTGATCGGCCGCTTTTTCATTCGCAATGCCGCATCCTTGGTGGTTGAAGCGGAACACGTTGCCGTACTATCAGCGGGTTCCATCTCAAAATGCTGCAACTTTATCATATTTTAATAAAAATCCGCAACTCTTTACATATTTCACATTAACTATGCGTCTAGCAATTTTTAGCCGTTATTCGTCTAGTGGGTGAGCTTGGCAGCCCGTTTTGTCTCCTGAAGAAATCGGACTGAAGGCATTGAGGGCCATGGGCCGAACCAAAAATGGACGGTCCAAGTAGGTCGGCCGAAGAGGGTGAAATTGTCAAGTGGCTTTTTGCAGCCGTTGGTGGGCCGAACCATACTTTCTGAAGGGCCCGTACAAACCGCGGAAAATACGGAACAGCCGAAATCGTTAAATTTTACGAGCAAATATCATAAATTAAATAAAACCCCGCTATAATCCAGTTACTGTAAGATGTGGCGGGGAAGGGAGGGGAGGGGGGAAGCGAAAGTAGCCCCAGTAATAGCACGAGCCAAATACAATCAAATGCAATCAAAACAGTCGACAAATGCCCTCTTTTAAGAATTGATTACAAGCAATTCTGATGGCAGGTTTCACTTCCCGGATATATGCAATCTACCATCGAAGCGAATGAATGAATCGAAAAGGAGGGCAGTCTGGCTGCCTCACTGGCAAAACCGATCTTTAACATAAAAGCTACTCAGTAACTTTTACTGACACTGCACCACACAAGCCGGCTTAACCAGTACTATAAAATTAAAGAAAAAAGAAATAACAGAGCCGAGGATATCCAACGAAGCAAAATCCCCGTCCCCCCCAAAGCCATCCTCTTCTCTGCCAAGATTCCCTGGATTACAAGTTGTAGACCCCCTTTCTCTCCCCCTCCCCCATTTTTTCTCCGTAAACATTACCCCTCCCCTAAAATATAAAGAATTTAAAGGCAGAAAGAAGGGAAGTGCAACACAGCACGGTTTCCTTCCCCTCATGTTAAGAGATGCTATTACCGCGGTGCAGATACCAAATTTGGCAGCGCCATATTTTTCTATGCTTTGATTTTTACCCCTTCGCGGATTCTGATTGTTATTCCACCCTCACCAAACCATTCATGGCTCTAGAAATCCCTCGCAAGGAGCACCCTCCCCCACCCCCTTCGCCCAACTCAGCAACCACATCCCCCACCACCACCAGATGTTGTCAGACCACAAAAACACCGGCCCGCCGCGAAATACCAGTATGTCAGTCGTTGCGAGTCACGAGCGGGAATTTGTGCGGACGGCCGTGAAAAAGCACGTTGCGCGGAGGGACAAAGGAGAAGGGGGGGGGGG